AAAATAGCTATATCTCGGTTAATAATCTTCGTACAGTCTTGAAAATTGACTGACAGATGTAATTTAGATTACTATTTCATTCAACAACGTGATACATGTGATCCAAGGGCGTTTTCGGCCGCCATCTTGAATTTTAAAATGGCCGCCGCTCATTTTTAAAAAAATAGCTATATCTCGGTTAATAATCTTCGTACAGACTTGAAAATTGACTGACAGACGTAATTTGGGTTTACTATTTCATATCAACAACGTGATGCATGTGATCCAATGCGTTTTCGGCCGCCATCTTGAATTCAAAAATGGCCGCCGTCATTTCTTACAAAATAGCTATATCTCGGTTAATAATGCTTCGTACAGACTTGAAAATATGACTGACAGACGTAATTTGGGTTACTATTTCATACAACAACGTGATGCATGTGATCCAAGGGCGTTTTCGGCCACCATCTTGAATTCAAAATGGCCGCCGTCATTTCTTAAAAAATAGCTATATCTCGGTTAATAATCTTCATACAGACTTGAAAATTTACTGACAGACGTAATTTGGGTTACTATTTCATACAACAACGTGATGCATGTGATCCAAGGGCGGATTCAAAATGGCCGCCATAAAAATTACAAACTTAGCAATATTTTCGTTCACGGAAGATATAGAGACGTGAAAATTTGCCGACTGGCGCAGGTTAATACCCATCCGGCCAAGTCGACACGTGCCGTATCCAACACGCGTTGGAAACGATGGAAAACACGCATTTTATCGTGGAGTTTCTAAACACGCATTTTCAACGTGCCGTTCTTCAAGTAAATGCGACGTGTACACAAGCAGTTCAAAACTCACAGCGCGCGAGGCACGCACGCACGCACATAACAGATAGCTATACGCCCGCGCGAGAACGCACGCACGCACATAACAGATAGCTATATACGCGCACGAGCACGCACGCACATAACAGAAGCTATATACGCGCGCCGAGCACGGCACGCACATAACAGGTACCTATATCGCGCGCGAGCACGCACGCACATAACAGTACCTATACGCCCCGCAGAACGCACGCATGCACGCACATAACAGGTACCTATACGCGCCGCGAGAACGCACGCACATAACAGATAGCGATACGCCCGCGAGCACGGCACGCAGATAACAGGTACACTATATACGCGCGCGAGCACGCACAGCACATAACAGATATCTATACGCCCGTGAGAACGCAGCACATACAGCAATAGCTATATAGCGCGCGCGAGCACGCACGCACACAACAGGTAGCCTATACGCCCGCGAGAACGCATGCACGCACATAACAGAAGCTATATACGCGCGCGAGCACGCACGCACATAAACAGGTACTTATACGCCCGCGAGAACGCACGCACATAACAAAAACTATATACGCGCGCGAGCACGACACCGCACGATAACAGGTACCTATACGCCCCGCGAGAACGCACGCACGCACATAACAGATAGCTATATACGCGCGCGAGAAACGCACGCACATAACAGAAGCTATATACCGCGCGCGAGCACGCACGGCACATAACAGGTACCTATACGCCCGCGAGAACGCACGCACATAACAGAAGCTATATACGCCGCGCGAGCACGCACGCACTAAACAGGTCACTTATACGCACGCGAGAACGCACGCACATAACAGAAGCTATATACGCGCGCGAGCACGCACGCACATAACAGGTACCTTATACGCACGCGCAGAACGCACGCACATATCAAAAGCTATATACGCGCGCCGAAGCACGCATGTACGCACATAACAGATACGCTATACGACCGCGAGAACGCACGCACATAACAGAAGCTATATACGCGCGCGAGCACGCACGCACATAACAGGTACCTATATCCCGCGCGAGAACGCACGCACATAACAGAAGCTATATACGCGCGCGAGCACGCACGCGCACAGTTGATAGATAGATAGATATATAGATAGATAGATAGATAGATAGATAGATAGATAGATAGATAGATAGATAGATAGATAGATAGATGGATAGATATATTTTGGGGTATTTTTCTTTCAACCAAGTGGTCACCAACTGAGCGCTTTATTTCCCGGGCAACGCCGGGTGTCCTGCTAGTATATATATATGCAGCAATATTTGATGAAAATTGTTTGGTTTGAGTGCATAATTTTAGATCGATAATATTAATGTGCAGGACTAAAACTAAAATACTAACGCTTTATCATAGCCTGAAAAGTAGGGGGGAAGTTGTAACACAATTTATAGCTGTATTAAATTTATATATACTATTTTGCATCGTCCTGTGCCGAGAAATAAGAGTAGGCCTATGTCAACATATATTAATCTGCTATCTTGCGACACTTAGAATTTGCTATTGCATCGTTTTCTGTGTCATCTTTAAACATTCTTAACATTCATGAGCATGACGGCCTATGTGCATTCGAAGAGGGCAGTGTAATTCACAGTCTAATGACTGCCTACATGCACTTGTAGTAGCAAACACGGCCGATCTATAATTACTACATATACTTACTTGCATGAATAATAGCTACCGGTCACAATATTACAGTTGTAGGTCACGGGGCCGTTATCAAACACATCATGAAGCCATAGTTTATATACTTTAGTTGCCACTCAGTCATTAATTATTATCATTTTCCTTATTTTTGATATCTGAACTTGTATCATGACTCTTGACTCATGACTCAACGTTAATAAAGATTGAAAATGTGCGAGATTATCTTAATAGCATAATTTTATAACAGTCATTTTCCATGTATGTTGTCTATTTGGCAGCTTGAGTATTTCTATCAATGCTGTGGTAGTATGTAGGGCATTGCTGGTTACAATATCGAATCGTTGCACCAAAATATTACTTTTTAAATATTATTATTAGCGAATGATATCGGAAATGCTGATATCAAAGTTTGCCAGACTGCGTTCCGGCAAAAATGTCTCTCATATCGAATTCATAATTTTCATGCGAATTGAATCTCAAACATGTTTAATGCAAATTAATTACTTTAATTTAATAACTAATTTATATTTACTGTGTTGAGTTACAAATCTTCAGAATGTCCCAGTAGCTCTTCCGAAGCATTTTATTAATGTATTTTCGTGATATTTAACGTGAGACATCTCTTGTAATAATGTAAGCAACATATGCGTAAAATCAGTGATAATAACACAGGAGAACAATAATGTAGACAAGTATAATTTGCGAGCCGAGCTTTTATTTCGTAATCCAAATCTCAATACATCTGCGCTACATCGGGCTAATCGAATCCATGTATATGATTTAACTTCCTAATAGCTAGCTACGTTCATAGAAAATCCAAGCATGAGCCGATAAGCATCACTTTCTGCATTTCAAAAGCATCATGATAACATAATAGTCGTTTGATAAAAAGTTAAATTCCTCGAGTGCGGTTTGCCAATCATGCACGAGAAACACAGACATAGCTAAAGCTTTTCTTTTTTCGAAAGCTCACATCACACAAGAAGTTTGAAGGAATCATCGCAGGCTGATATTATAGAACATATTTTCTGTGGCATTCCATTCATCATATACCGCTAAAGAGAACATCAGATCGTCTGTATTGATCTCTTCTATGACTTCATCAATACGTTATACTAGTTATCGTACGTTAATTTAAATAGCGGTAGCAGTTGATTCTGCCAGCTAGAATTCATTGCTTTTTTAGTGTTCTATATGAATATCGGGTTTTCCACCAGCAATCGCCGAGCGTCTAAAGCAGAGTAAAATCACCAATCCGTGAATATGGCCTGCCAAGAATTTCTGAAAATAACCAAAAACCTGTTAAACACCGACCGACATGCTATAAATACCATAACTGAAGTTGAATTTACAAAATAACCTAAAGTTCGGTTAAGTAGGTAGCTTTAGAGAGAGCTAAAATTATGTTAATGTCCCTTTGGCATTAAAAGCTCTAGGTCACTGTAATGTCCTAAAGCTATTAAAATACATATACTCACATGGTACACGATTTACTCAATTGAACTGGCGTGTGTAGCGGACCTCTGTAACAGAATTAAATAATTAGTATTTTACATTTAAATGCAATTAAAATAAGGAGATATATATATATGTATATAACATTTTATATGATGATTGGAAATTAACTGTGATTTAAGTCACGAAAGAAAAATCGCAATATAATTACTTACAGTAGAGCGGGAAGTTACTCCTCCAGCGCGGGCCATGGCTCGCATCTTAGTAGCCGCTGCCTCCGCCTCCTCTAGTGAAACCTGGGTGTCCTCAAGCTCAGCCTGTGTCTTGCGGTACTTGGCCAGGTTCATGTTGGCGACCTCTTCAGCCTCGTCAATCTGGCGCTTGTACAGCTTGGATTTGCTGGTCAGTTTCTCGATCATGTCCTGGAAGTGCGCCTGGTTCTTCTTAGAATCCTCGATTTGCATCATCAGATCTCTAACCTGACGGTCGCACTTGCGGTAGTTCTTTTGTGCCTCACTGCTGCGGCGTTGTTCTCCTTCAAGCTCTCCCTCAAGTTCGCGGACGCGCTGTTCCAGCTTGGCGATCAGCTTCTTGCCTCCCTTCAGGACATTTGCTTCAGCCTCGTCGAGACGTACCTGGAGGCCCTTCAGTTGTCCTTCGACAGACTGGCGAGCCTTCTCCGCATGCTGGGCATGGTCTTGCTCCTGACGCAGCTCTTCGGCAAGGCGGGCAGCATCTGCCGTGGCATTCCTTGCCTTCTCATCGGCGTGCTTCATCTCGTTCATGGTTTCCTCAAGGTCGGCCTGCGTGGTAGTAAGGTCTCCCTCCAGTTTTCTCTTGGCAGCGTTGGCAGAGGACACCTGGGACTGCATGTCACTAAGGTGATCGTTGGCTTCATTCAGCTCAGTCTCCGTTGCGCGGCGGTTGCGCTCAGACATCTCCAGTGCAGTGCGTGCCTCTTCAAGCTCGGCAGTGATGCTGTTACAACGACGCTCAGAGGATCCCAATCTTTCAGCAAGCTCATCACGCTGACGCTGTTCATCTTCAATCTGGCTCTCGAGATCCTTCATCTGCGCCTGGAGCTTCTTCAAATTCTTTTGAGCATCTGCGTTTTGACGGTTGGCACTGTCTAAAGCAACCTCCAGCTGATTGATGTCAGTTTCCAACTTCTTTTTCATACGCATGACTTCGCCCTTGCCCTTGGCTTCAGCTTCAAGGCTGGCCTGCATGGAGTCGATGGCACGCTGGTGATTCCTACGTGTGGTCTCGAATTCTTCATCTTTCTCAGCAAGGCGCCTGTCAATCTCCTGGCGAATCTGCTGCAGCTCAAGCTGAGCACGGACGTACTTGGCTTCTTCTTGCTCAAGGGCAGCTTCAGCCTCTTCAAGAGCGGACTGCAGCTCGTCCTTCTCCTGCTCTGCTCTCCTGCGGGCCTTGTCAACCTCGTGGATGCTCTTGCCTCCCTCGTTCAATTGATCAGCAATATCCTTGATTTCATCAGCGAGATTCCTGTTCTCTCTCCTCAAGCCATCGATGTTATCAGATGCTTCATCAGCAGCAGACTTTGCCTTGAACAATTCGGTAGAAATGTTGCGGCATTCGCGCTGAGATGCTTCAAGCTCTGTTGCTAGGTCATCGCTCTTCTGCTTCCACTCGCTGACAGTCTTGTCAAAGTTGCGCTGCTTCTTCTCAGCAGCATTTGCTGCTGATGACGCACGCTCTACCTCAATAGACATATCATCGATTTGGTTTATCAACTTGATTTTAACCTTTTCCAGTTGGGCGACCTTAGATAGAGCAGACTCGGCAGTATCCTCAGCATTCTGAAGCTTGGCCTGCATTTTGCGCCTAAAATAAATGTGTTATTATAATTATATATATATATATATATTATATATATATATATATCGGTGATATGTAAAATATTGTGTCAATAGACTTTGATTCAGTTCAGTTCAATCCAGATTCATCGTTTGCTCCAGTCATTCAAATATAATTACATATATAAGTTAGAATAATATTTGTATAAAATTTATTAATTGTTTGTCAATAAACGAATATTCAGTTCAATTATATCCTCTTTTTTGTGTGTGCTGCTGCCATTCATATAGAATTTTCTACAATATTAAGAGCTATGGCGTAGATTTTAAATTGTTTACATACTTGATCTCATCGGCTTCTGGTCCTCCACCACCGAGTCCCTCGCTCTCTACTCTCGCTCGCAATGTGTTGAACTCGTTCGACACTTTGGCTAGCTGTCTCTGAAGCTGTGACTTAGACTCAGACTCCTCTTCAAGCTGCTCTCTCATTTGTTCAGCATCATGCTGGGCATTACGTACCTGAGACTGATAGGCTGCCCGTTGCTAAAAGGTACCAAAATATTAGTTAATAAAAGCGCAAATTTTTCTATTATTAAATAAAAACAATGCCATCGAGTTATTTTGTATTTATTGAGTTATCTGCTGTCATTTCTGACACTAGAAATCTATATCTATTATCAATTATCGATTGCAATTAGTTCACTATTTACCCTTGATTCATCTTCCAGTGCACCTCTGCTCTCTTCTAGCTGTGATGACAGTTGAGATTTAACTCGGTTCAACTGAGCAACCTGAGATTCGGCTTCTTCCAATTGGCGCATCAGGTCGCTGTTCTCCACAGCTGCACGCGACTTCTGTGTGTTCAGGTCATTGATGGTGCGAGTGGCTTCGTCCAATTTGCCGTTGGCTTCAGATAGTTGACCCTCCAAAGCCTTAGACAACTTATCAGCTTGTCCCTATAAAGTTTGATGTTACAGACCAGTTGTTAATGCAGCTCCATCATATCACACGATAGATAATTTTACATACATTGACCAATGTGCAGACTAGAGTACATTACTTCTAGGTTCATATTACAGTAGACATGTCGCATAGGTTTTTTTTATCCTCACCTTGCTCTTAGACACATGATCAATGTTAGCCTTAGCATCATCAAGTTCAACCTTTAGTTGGGCCTTCTCCTTTTCAATCCTAAAAAAATAAAAGCGGCACGCTTACAATGCGCAGATAATGATATCGGTGCTATCTAATATCAATCTAGGTGTCACGTACTGCGTTTTCCGATAAGTGAATTATCGCTATCAATGTTTCAACTTACTTGGCTTTGACCTTCTGCAGTTGATCGATCTGCTCTCCCATCTCAGCAGTCATGTCATTCTGCTTCTTGCGCAGAGATGAGATAGTTGATTCGTTTTGCAGAGCTTGTTCCTCAAGATCACGACGCAGCTTTGCTAATTCAGCCTCCCGCTTCTTGTTCAGCTCTACCTGGGCACTAGTGGCGCCACCTGCTTCCTCCAAACGTTCAGTCAAGTCTTCGAGTTCACGCACGGCATCACCACGCTGCTTCTCTACCTTGGAGCGAGACTGTCTCTCTGCCTCGACCTCTTCTTCTACTTCCTCGATGCGGGCCTGCAGTTCTTTAATCTTCTTCTGCATTTGGTGAACAATACCCTGCTCATCCTCGCACTTGCTGTTTAGGCCGGCTACCTCTTTGTCTTTCCTACGAATGTTCTCCTCGAGTTCTTGCCTTGCATGTTCCAACTCCTCAACAGCCTCCTGTGTCATCTTAAGATCACCTTCAAGCTTCCTCTTTGCTTTCTCTACATCTCCACGCACCTTCTTCTCGCGCTCAAGGTTGTCCTCAAGTTCATCAAGATTCTGCTCAAGCTTAGCCTTTAGCTTGTTCAGATGGTTGCACTTGTCCTCTTCTTTTTGAAGATCTTCAGAGGTTCGCTTTAAATTGAAATAGATAATCACAGTATTATAGTTTTCCACTTACTGAAATCTGTCAGATTAAATCGATTTATTATCCATGGTATTAATATTGATAATGCTAAACAGTTGCATTAAATACAATGACAATTCGTTTACTTCTTAATAACTACTTAAATGTCAACGTAAAGGAAATATTTACCGTTTGATTTTCTTCACCGTGCTTGTTTTCCTTGTTGACCTTGGCAATGAGCTCCTCCTGGCGGGCAATCTCATCATTCAGTTGCTTGATCTGGTGTTCCTTGGCTGTCTTCTCGCTCTCGACCTTCTTTAGGTTACGTTCAAGATCCTCAATGCTGCTCTTCAGATCAGAACATTCACCTTCAACTTTCTTCTTGGCAGCAGAAACAGCTGAGGATCCTTCCTCTTCCTCTTGAAGACGGCCCTGGAAGTCAGCCAGCTGCTGTTCTAGCTCTGCCTTCTGCTGTATTAGCTTGGTGGCTCTCTCCTCTATATCGGCAATAGTGGAAGACTCTCCTTCTACTTGGGAGTGTAGGTCTGCCTTTTCCTTTTGCAGCTTAACTATCTGTTCTTCTTGTTCCTTACGCAATTTTGTCTCTTTTTCTAATTCTGCCTTAATCTTATCGAATTCGTCTTTCATTTCCTTCATTTCGTCTTCTTGGCGAGCAACAGACAACAAAGGCTTGACCTTAGTGTACAGCTTCCACCATGGCCAGTTGCGGCACTGGACGTACTTCCTCACGTTACGTTGGATAACGGTCATGGCCATACGCTGTGCCTTCATGACAATAAACTGTTCCCTCATCTGCTTGCCGCGGATCCATGCCTGTGCCAACGTCATGATGCGGGTGATGCGCTCCTCTCTCAGCATTTCCAGTTTACCCAGTGAACCGGCCTTGAAGAAGACCTTTGTATGACCACATCTGTACATCTCTTTATCCCAATCCAAAGCAGTGAGGATATTTGCAGAAACATCTTTGCTGTCGGAGAAACCTTCAGGAACTGCATTTGGTGCAAGGATCTGGTACCTAGAAATGACATATCATAATAAAAATTGGTAACATTTGCTAGAAAAGCTGGTAGAAGAGGATACAGAAGACCCATAATATATATATTCATATAATTATATGCACACATGAAAACACGGGTTATGATCATGTTTTGAAATTCATATAGAAAGTGTCATCTAAGTATATGAAATATAGGTATTGCGTTTAAATAGGCACTATATATTATAGTTTCTTGCCTCTGTTTGAAATCGCCATAGACCAGCCTGTTGGGAAAGCCCTTTCGGCAAATACGAATTCCTTCTAGCACACCGTTGCAGGTCAGTTGGTTCATTACTAGTTCAGCATCCAATGCACCACCTTCCTTGTTTTCGTTAGGGATGAGGCAGCGCACAAAGTGGGGTTGTGTGCTCTCAAGAGTGTGCATCAGTCTGCCAAGTTGCTCCTATTGAGTTAACAAACAGATATGAATCGGCGAAATGGAATAGTTAGATTTCAATGTAAAGTTGAACTGTTTCAAGGCATTCTTGATATTTCAATAAGCGATATAATCCAGTGCCATGGCGACAATCCATGTAACGCCAATATATATATATATATATATATATATATATATATATAATAAGTTAATAATGCAGATGGTATTCTTACCCTGTACACAGCAGACACAGTCTGGAAGGCAGATCCCTTCTTCCTCTTGCCCTTGCCACCCGTGGATTCGGCCTTCTCTGCCTCCAGTTTGTCAGCAAAGAGTGTGCACATGAGGTGGTTTCCGTGAGATTTGGCCAGAAGCAAAGCCACCGTGTCGTTGATGGGATCCTTGTTCTTTTCCAGCCACGCGGTGATGTTATAGTTGACGATGCCAGCATAATGGCAGATACCGAAGTGAGCTTCGGCTTGATTCTTTTTTGGTGGTTTTGGCTTTATGAAGGCTTTAGACTTGCCCAGGTGGTTTTGCACGAGCTTGTCCTTGAATGTGGTATCCGTGGCCTTGGGAAACATAGATTCCTCCTCAAGGATGGCGAGAATACCCATGGGCTGTAAATAAATGTATTTGAGTTTTCACACAAAGAGATTACTCATGCAAGAAATTACTCACTACTGATTTATAGATGATATCACAAATACGAACATTCAGGGTCCCAAATTTCTGATTGTTTTTTTTTTCGCGAAAATGTCTCAATCTCTTAACCTCGCATCTAAGAACTACTGTATCATGAAATTACCTTTTCAATCATGTCAATGCAAGATTGCAGATCCAGTCCGAAATCAATGAAGGTCCATTGGATTCCCTCGCGTTTGTACTCTTCCTGCTCCAGAACGAACATGTGATGGTTAAAGAACTGCTGTAGCTTTTCGTTGGTGAAATTAATGCAGATCTGTTCAAATCCGTTAGAATCAAATATCTCGAATCCAGCAATATCCAGTACTCCAATGAAGAAAGACTTCTTGTGAGGAGTAGCAAGGGTCTCGTTGACTTTGACGACGAGCCACTTGAACATTCTATCGAACATGGCCTTTGCTAGAGCAGACACTCCGTAGTAGCATTGATCCTTGTTCTGGCCCTTGGTGACGTATTCAGTGCCGACCTTGACACGCGGTTTTAGAATTCCCTTGTACATGTCAGCATCTGATACGCCCAGCAGATGGGCAACCCGACCTCCAACTTCCATGCCATCGGCCTCAGCCTGTTCTTCTCGTGGTCTCTGCTTGAACTGCATGGCTCCCATGTGCATGACAGCAGCGACAATCTTGTAGATATTAGTTTTCTCAGGTCCCGTAAACAATAGCACATCGAATGCAACCTGCAGTAACAAAACACACAGGCTCGCGTTACATCGTTGACATCGATTTCTCTATGTACATCATAATAAACATACTACACACTGTTTAAAATAGATTTAGCAAATACAAGTACGAGGTTATCAAATGTGATTTGACATTAATGGCGTTCATTTACACGATTTAACTTAAGCGAATTCGCATTTTTTGTCTTACATCAGTGTCTTTCATTTCCTGGCCATCATCAACACCATCGATATAGGTCCTTCCCTGAGAGACGAATGGATAGCTGTCGATAGGGTCTTTGAGCAACAGCATATCTGGAACAATTCACATCAATAAGAGTTTTATGGAACACGTTTTACATATAGTCGCCTAATGATAATGTGTAGGATCTGTAAAGTACGAATATGTGTTGTATGGACTCTTCCCCTACGCACCACTCATTCCATCAATAGCACCAGAGATGACTTGGTAAAAGATGTGGTAGCTGCGCTCAATTGGCTGCTGGGAAACGACACGAGATTTCTCGAGCAGATCTGAAAATGGAGGCATTGATTAATTATTGAATACTGATGCAATTTCCACATTTAAATGTCACATTTTAATTGGATTTATCTTGCCATGAGGTACACAAACGAGCCCCCACCCCACCCACACACACTCACGCACATACACTCACACATACGTTGCACTTATATATAGTAAAAATGCTCACATGACTCGATGTCTGCTCCTGCCAATTTTCCAGATGGGCCGAAATGAATCCTGATGAATTTACCCTGTGTGAGTACAAAGATGAAAATAATTATTGCTTGATCAATGATTAATTCATACATAATGCAAGATCAAAAATGGATAATCAGCGAAAGTAAAACTAAATGAAATATCTATATAGGCCTACTTACGAAACGAGAGGAGTTATCGTTTCTGACGGTCTTTGCGTTGCCGAAGCTCTCAAGGACAGGGTTAGCTGACACGATCTGATCTTCCAGGTTAGCCTTCTTCTTGTCACTTTCAGCTGGCTTAGCGCCCGAGGCAGCAACCATAGCGAAGTAGGAAATGACTTTCTTCGTGTTTTCTGTCTTTCCGGCACCAGACTCACCGCTGTGGGAATAGCTCAGCTGTTTAATCTGATTCTGCATCTACTAATTTCAGAGCTGGAAATTTAACGTTACATCGTAGTTGGCATGACCATAGAATTGGCGATGTTTAGACATTCTATGAATTTGTCACACCCAAGTTTACTCCTAATATTATGTCGTTATATACTTTTCGAACTTACGTGATCAACATAGACTGGTCTTCCCTATCTGGAACAAGCAGATCACATTATAGTATATGTATCAATTTCAAAGCAATTTTATTTTTTTGAGGTAGGGAAAGTTTAACATATAGACATGATAACATTAGAAAACACTTTACTGATATTAAGCATTTTCTATACTAAAATTCTTTGTGCGCACTGAGAATTACACTTTTGTACGGGAACATCGATGACCATTCGTAATGAACCCAACCATTAGTTCCCTCGAATATGCCGACGTACAAAGGAAAACGAGGTTGGTTTTGAATAAGTCGAATGTTTCTGCGTCCGTATTGTGTGAATATATACGTACTGGCAATCATGGCAGCATAAGCATTGTCCGACACCGAGAACAGATGAGGCGGCACCTCATTCTTGCGCCTGCCACGGTATTCATTGACAACCTCTGGGTTGTAGATAGGAAGCCTCTTGTAGGGGTTGACCACAACGCAGAACAGTCCAGAGTAAGTCTGTATATATCGTTATGGACAAAAACATGATGAGAGTTCATGCATAGTTTGCGTATTACCTAGAATTATGTGTCTTTCTATAATAATATGGCAAATTATTAACTTAACAAAACCTGTTTATAAAATTGGCCGTGTGTTAGTGATGACACAATTGCTTATTTTGCCTCTCGTCATCAAGTGAGCATCAGTTTGCGTGAAATCTTATTTTCGACATACCCCCCCCCCCCACCCAAAACAAATAATGATTTCGCTTGCGATAATGTATATGTGTTTTTATTACCAATAATATATAAATCAAGAGCACATAAACCCATAAACATTGATTGTGTAATCCGGGTTGTATCACATATCTGATGTCCTAATTTGAAATTAACTTTCGACGGAACATAAAGCGCTTACGTAAATCAACCAGGCGCGATATCTCTGCCTCAGGACATGAAGAACGGAAGCATCGTTCAGGTATGTCAGGTTAGACATGTCATCGCACTTCTCGTACTGCGGAGGGTTCATCTGCTGAACGTGCTCAGTCTTCATAGTCATCTCCTGCAGAAAAAAAAGAGTTAGGGAGTAACATGTGCGTGCGATTGGAAGAGTGACGGTTAGAAAGAGGCCGAAGAGTGAGAAAGATAGAGAACTAGATAATGAAAAAACGAGAGACAGAGATAATAAAATTAAAAACGTAGAAAGCGGGATAGGGAGGCAGAGAAAGAAAGAAACAGCGAGAGAGAAATAAAGAAAGGAAGAGAGAAGGGGCGAGAGGGGATAGAGATGTATATGTGCATGCGTAGTGTTGTGTGTGTGTGTGTGTGTGTGTGTGTGTGTGTGTGTGTGTGTGTGTGTGTGTGTGTGTGTGTGT